AGGAAGAGAAGTGGAAAGCAAAAACAGATCATTCTCTCAGAGAGCTCTGGGATAATTCAAAGAAAACTAATATTCACCTTACAGGAATTCCTGAATGTGACGAGGTAGCACTGAAAGGTACAGATGCCCTACATATAATGAAGGGAGAACTTCCCAGACATGCCAAGAGATTCTGAAAATCAGATAGCAGACAGTTTCAGAACCCGAGCACTACTCAACCCAAATAAAACATCTCCTAAACACATTCTAATTAACTTTGGTAAAGTTAAAATGAAGGAGAAAATGCTGCAAGCAGCCAGATGTAAGAAAATCATAACCTACAAGGGGAAGAATACAAAAGTATACAAAAGAATACAAAATACAAGTTTACAAAAGTAAACTCACTCAGAAACTTTTGATCAAATTCCAACTCCCAGTGGTGAAAGGATTAAGAATGTCCACTGAACTTTTGAAAAACTTGATACACAAAATTCTACCAGGCTTATCAATATTCTCAATTAATGTGAATGGCTTAAATTTTCCTCTAAAGAGGTGCAGGTTGGCTGACTGAATACAAGAACTCAGGGAAGATATCTGCTACATACAAGAATCTCATATTACCTTAAAAGATAAATAGACTCAGGGTGAAGGGATGGTCATCTATATTTCAGGCAAATGGACATCATAAAAAAGCAGATGTTGCAATTTTTTTCACAGATAAAATAGGCTTTAAACCAACAAAAGTAAGGAAAGATAAGGATGGTGATTACTTCATATTTGTTAAGGGTAACACTCACCATGATAAGATTTCAATTAATAATATTTATGCTTCCAACCAGAATGCACCTCAATTTATAAGAGAGACTCTAACAAAGTCTCCTACAGTACCATCATAGTCAGAGATTTTAACACTTCTTTGGCAGTGTTGGATAGATCCTCCAATAAGAAGCTAAGCAAAGAAATTTTAGACTTAAACTTAACCATTCAACAATTGGATTTTACAGACATCTACAGAACATTTCATCCTAACAAAACTGAATACACATTCTTCTCATCAGCCCATGGAACATACTACAAAATTGATCACATCTTACGTCACAAGTCTAACCTCAGCAAATTTAAAAGAATAGAAATTATTCCTTGCATTTTCTCAGACCATCATTGAATAAAAGTTGAACTCAATAACAACAGTAATCTGTATATCCATACAAAAACATGGAAATTAAATAATCTTATGCTGAATGACAGTTGGGTCAGAGATGAGATTAAGAAGGAAATTACCAAATTTTTGGAACAAAACAATAATGAAGACACAAAATATCAGAACCTTTGGGATACCACAAAGGCAGTCCTAACAGGGAAATTTATAGCACTGCAAGCCTTCCTCAAGAGAATGCAAAGAGAGGAAGTTAACAACTTAATGGGACATCTCAAACAACTGGAAAAGGAAGAACATTCCAATCCCAAACCCAGCAGAAGAAATAACAAAAATTAAAGCAGAATTAAATGAAACTGATAACAAAAGATCAATAAATGAAAAAGTTGGTTTTCTGAAAAGGTCAATAAAATAGATAAACCTTTGGCCAACTTAACCAGGAAAAAAAGAGTAAAACCTCTCATTTCATCAATCAGAAATGATAAAGACGAAATAATAACAGACTCCTCAGAAATTCAAAAAATCCTTAATGTATATTATAAGAAACTCTATTTTCAGAAATATGAAAATCTGAAGGAAATAGACCAATAC